TCTCAGTCGTAGCTGGCACACGTCATGTACAGTAGGTGGGCTAACTCATGAAATGTCAACCGAAATTCCGAAATGTGTTTCCGTTTCGAAAAGATTAATTAAGTAGGGTTGTAAAACTAATCAGTCTGCAGTGTAATTCTTTAATAATTCAGGTACCTCAGGATGCCGGCTTTCGAAAGAACTTCCTTCTGGCTGCATGCAAAAACTATACTCTAAAAAATTACTACTTAAGTAGAATGAATTTTTCTCATTGATTTTAGATGCCCCTAAAAGTCCAGTTATATTTCATGGAAAACATGCAAAAAATATTCATTCTTTCGCTCATTCGGTAGAAAATTGCATATTCTTTCAATTTTATACTCCAAGAAAGGGTCTAATTCGATATGAAAAAAGTTTCTAATTGTGAGACTTTCTAATACCGTGAAATGGCCCTTCATAAAACGTCATGTCTCTGCATTTACCAATGTGGCTTGTAAAGTTAACAATATGGATCAAATCCAATGCTACATTTTATGAACCCCATATGGTCTCCGCTTAATACCGTAGAGAAATGTGTGGTTTTCCTTATTCAGAAAATACATGGTTTGTAGCTTGGGAACCCTGAATGCAAGCGTGACGGTAGGTCGGATTCAAAATTATTCGGGAATTGGAAAAGTTTTTACAAACCGAATAATACCCTTTCGTCGAGTATAAAATTGGAAGAAGACGTAGTTTTCTACCGAATGAGCGGAAGAATGAATATTGTTATGCAGGTTTTCCATGAAATGTAATTGGACTTTTGGGGGCATCGAAAATCAAAGAGAAAAATTCATTCTACTTAAGTAGTAATTTTTTAGAGTATAGTTTTTGGATGCAGTCGGAAGGGAGTTCATTCGAAAGTCGACACCCTGAGGTAACTGGCATTATAGAATTATGCTGCTCGAAGATTAGTTTTACAACACTAATTAGTTAATCTTTTCGGAACGAAAACGTATTTCGGAATTCCGGTTGACATTTCATGAGTTAGCCCACCAACTGTATGTCCCAGCTTCTCTGTGCACCTAAACGTCCGCGACTTCGGGATGATATGAACGCATTCCAAGTCTTCAAACCTTTGAAACGCGTACATTCTTGGAAAGAAAAACAAATTGCTTAAGAAGATTGAATGTGCGTGAGAAAAATAGAAAATTGAGTACACCTGCCTACTCATCCACCGACAACGACGAAAACTTTTTTGACGTTAATATTCTTTGCACGAGTGTGACTGGTCATAGAAAAGAAGACGAAGGTAAAACAAACGCACAATTGGCGGCATTCCACTGACAAAAACAAACATGTCACCGCCAGTAGCACTTCACTGGACCGTCGGTTAGCTATGCCAGCGAGGAGAATCTTAAAGCAAGCCTATGTGTCATCAACACATAAAGATGCTACTGATAATGCTTGTTTTGGTAAGCGTCCATGAGGGCATTATTGGATAAATGTTCCAACGAATTGCCGAGCGCGAGGAACATGTAGATCGGATAGGAGTGCTCACCTTCCCAGGAATGGTGGTAAAATAGGTTTTACGGGTGAATCTCTTTAAAGGAAGAGACGATACGATTTAAATTGTTCAAGAGACCGAAATGTCGCCATTGAGCCACATGCTTGTTTTTTGTGCTAATGACCTAATAATTAAACTTTGCGCAGCATAAAAAGCAGCCAAGAGGAAACTTCACAATTTAATGAAGGAATTTCTGCACATCCATTGGTTGGAAAGCACCAGGTAACTGATCCAGAAACGGAATGTCCAATGAGTTTCCGCTAAGGCTGTGAAGACCCTACCTCGGAGTCGGAAACCGGCGACAGTTAAACATGAAAACGATAACACGGATAAGAATTGACCGCAGCCACTGAAAGCGAAATAATCAGACGCTTCATAGAGCAAAGAACCGGGCGTGGTGGTGAGTGCACATATTTATATTCAACCAAGACTGTACATCAAATAAAGGATAGATATAATAAAAAACTATCTTTTTCTTAAAAGCCACCTTTTTGCCGTTGTCAAAATGGACAGAATACGGTGAGTTTAAAATTAGTGGGCAGTAGGCTAAATCATGTCGGCATGACTAGAAGGACTGCGACAAAAGTATTAGGTGCGCTGGACTGCGTACTTCTGATGCCACAGCTCAGAAATAGGACTAAACGGGCAAGTAACGCCAGTCTGCGAGTATCTCACTCAAAATAAAAATAGCTGAGTTATTTAAAGCAGGCATGGACGGCAGAATGTATTGGTACCAGCAAATTTCGCGACGGCTTATCAACTGCAGCCTGTCGTTGCATAACACAGATAGCAAGTGAGAAAGATACAGAGGTTTGAACTTCCAGAGAGAAAATCAATGTAAAACAGAAGGTCATCGTATACTGCACGTAGACTAATCAATAAAATGGTAACTTTAAAACGCAACATAGGAAAGAAAATGGGAAATTTAACACGCGGAGGGACTTCGTAAATCAAAAGGGCTCAGATCTACCAGGGCAAGCGGAGGTTAACCACGTGGTCTAACTGTTTACATAGGTCGCGTTTCTCCCGTCGTATATAGGCTGCCTCCAGGTAGCGCAGTAACCGCGTTGTTCGTGCTGGAACTAATACTCGAAAAGATGTTTTGGGGTCAACCGAATGACCGCTATCAAGGAGGTGTTTTGTAATAGAAGATCGTGGAATCTTATTCCCCTGCTTTAGAAGCCATTTAGGCAGGTGCTCAAAACTTGTTATCTGTGTTACGCAACGATAGGCTGCAGTTGATAAGCCGTCGCGAAATTTACTGGTTCCAATACATTCTGCTGTCTATGCCTGCTTTAAATTCCTTCCGGGGAAATATTGCTTCAAATAGCCGAGTTAATTACTATGAATTTAAACATGATCCACAAGGGTTTTAGAACTGGCTTTCCAATTTAGCTCGATCAGACGAACGTCCTTCTTACACGGCCTAACCAAGTTAAAGGACAGGCGATAGCTATCTTATACTAAATTACCGCAGGCTTTATAACTCAGAGTGTCTCGAGTAGGACCCCAAGAAAAGGCTGTTACCAAAATTTGTCGATTATTTTGACTATAAAAAAGACAATCTGAGTTTTCGAATTTGGGCTATTTCTATACTGCTCGTTGGTATCAACGTCCGAATAGTCTGTAACATCGTTTTATTAACTTTGTTTAGTACCCTGGAGTACTCATTTTAACACTTTTATTGCATTTTAAGTTGACCTTATTCACAATGGTTGCGCCGTCAAAAATACCGTTACATATCTTTTTGTAAAAAATGTTCTTCTCCAAATCGGATTCGACTGAGTCTCGATGTAGTAATTAATCACCTATTTTGGCTGTCAGCCGGCATCTGTCTAATTAAGAGCTTCCTGGGTATGCATAATATAAGATTAGTCTGACAAAAATTCTGAACATGCTTAATTGTAGAACAAGCAGGCTCTTTTATTACGTAATAGAAAGGGCAAAGATTTTCAAAATTTGGAGGGCAAACCTAAAACGAAGTCTTAGTCTAATGTCGAGGAGGTAAAAACGGGGGAAATCAAACTGCAACTTTGGACAGTTCTGGCGCTAAGTGACATAACTTAAATCCAAGTCTTTGATAGTAATGCCTTCAGTCAGAGGGCATTTAGACTTTATCAGTATGATTATATTGAATGCCATCTTACAGGCGCTACAGAAATAATTACACGGCCTAGGTCTAGCATGTAGTGATAAACCCCCCTACTCGTCAGCGCAACTAGTTGGATTTTGAGTGGTTGCGGTTGTTAGGGGGAAAAAACTGCAGTCGCGAAATGACGGCAGTCCATAGCAAGAATAACTGGCATGACTAGAGACATATTTTGCGGTCTCCATTCCCTGTCGTGGAAGCGGGACCCTGTGCTAGACAAGGGTGAGTGAGTGAACAGTTGCTCTTCGCCGGCTGAAGTGTCTACTCGCTGAGTGGCAGACCGCAGGGCCGGCATCGTCCTCCTCGAGAGGAAACCAGGCGGTTGGAATGAAGACCACGATTGCTGTCACTACGGAAGATGGCCACAGTGGATTCGGCACACAGAAATTGTGGATTTTGTTCTGAATGCAGGTGGGAGTTAGTTCGTTCCAACAAAGGATGATTTCAGGGTATTTTTACGTTCCTAGGTAGCGTATTTCAGATACGACAGCGTTGACGGTAAACAACTGACGATACTCAACTGTACGTGATAGGCGAAGAGGTAAAAAGACCCCGTGGTGACTGCTGAGTCATAGGCGACCCATATGTCCTACAGCAGTCACTGGATTAAAAGTACGACAAGTTATGAAATTAAACACTAAAAAGACTTCATTATGTGAACAAATAAAGCGGAAATGATTAAGAGTTTGAATCTTTATTTTGATTATTCGGATTTTGGCATCCCGAGGTTAATGCACTCGATAGAACAACACTGGACAGATTCTGTTTTCTTCTGATCTCCAGCTGACGGGAGGCTAAATAAAACCCAACAGTATTTCACGCCTGATCCAGCGTACGCCTTAAATGGCAGTTACTAAAAAAATCCAGATGATAAATCAGGTCGCTGTACGTGCTTTGTAGATAGTCAGGCTGAAATGATCTAGAAGATGGAGACATTTGGATCGTGGTACACCCGGATTGGGTGTAGATGTGTCCAGTTGTGGATCCACGTGATGGTCGTAATTGGTCACTTCATTTACTCTCAGGTGTTGGCTACGCCTAGCGTCTATTAACTGGCACCCAAGTCTCACCTGCGGCTCCTCGAAGCTAGGCCCTGCCTAGCAACCACATCAAGATAACCGCCTCTACCGGCAGGCTAAACCAGGAGGGGGTATCCGTGTGGGCATCTCCGCACACGGTAACTCGGCTCCGCTGGCCGGATGGATCACCGCCTCGGTATCTCCGAGACGAGACTTTATCTGCATCACCGCAGGAGGCCTTTAAGACAATCCCAAGAGCAACCGGCCGGAACGATGGACGGCGCTTGTCGCACTGGAACTAGCGTGCTACATGGTGGACATCGATGCATTCAGCGATAACCGCTTTCTCGTACAAGGTCAACTGGGGGAGGTGGGTGTCGGCTACACCTTCCGGAGCGGCCGTCACAGGGCAGAACCACGAGACGCGGGCGTCGCCTTTACCATACGGGACGACGTTGTAGTACGATTGCCCTGCCTGTCGCCAGACACCATTGATCGTTGGATGAGCCTGCGCCTTTCTCTTCGGGATCCAACTTCGCCACCATCCTCAGCGCCCACGCTCCATCAATGACCGGCTCTGACTAGGCGAAGACCAAGTTTATCGAAGACCTGCACACATTCCCTGCATCTGGGCTGAAGGCGGACAAACTGGTTATCCTCGATGACTTGAATTTCTACGTCGGGACAGACTTTTCTGTCTGGAGGGGAATGCTGGATCGTCACGGGATCGGCGGCTGCAACAGCCACGGTCTCCTTCTCCTGCGACCCCGCGCTGAACACAGCTTCCTGATGACCAACACACTCTTCCGCCTGCCGATGCGGAAGAAGACCACCCGGATGCGTCCCCGATCGCAGCATTGGCAGCTGCAGGACTACGTTCCCGTCCGGAAGCAAGATCGGTAGGACGTGCTGGTCACCAAGGCGATCTGTGACGCTGATGACTGAATGGACCAACGCCTCGTCATCTCCAAGATGAAGCTCTGACTATTACCCCATAGGAGGCCGGGTTAGTTGTTTTTGCCTACCCACCGTCTATATTTCAGCAGTCAACTGACCCAGCAGCTGGAAGACCTGCCAGCTCCAGTTGAAAACGCGTCCATGAAGACTCACTGATGCCAACTGCGCGGCGCCGTCCATGCGATCACCCTGAATTCCTCGACTGCACATGTCACCAGCACCAGAACTGGCTCGAAGATAATGACGTAGTTTATAAGCAACTTGCTCGCCGAGAATAACAAACGGTATCGAACCTACGTCGACCATCTTACTTATGATAACAAAACGGCGTTATACCAATGTCGTCGCCTAGTGCAGCAATGGTTGCAAAAAATTCAGGACACCTGGGTGGCTCGCAAGGTCAAGGAAGTCTGGAGATATGCTGGCCGCAATGAAACCGAGAACTTCTTCGCTGCGATCAAAGCGATCTACGGTTCCCAATTAAAGGAAATTCACCGCTTCTCAACTCCGATAGATCAACGTTTCTGACGAAGAATTCGCAGATTCTGAAGCGCTAGGCCGAGCACTTCAGAAACGTCCTTAACCGCTCGTCCGCAATCTCCGATGCCGCCATCGACCGACTCCCACTAGCGGAATCCGACATCGACCTGGATCTCTCGCCCTCTTTTTCAGAGCCAATTAGCGCCGTGCAACAAATTTCCAGTGGGAAAGCACCATGCTCAGTTGCGATGGCACTTGATATCTACAAGAACGGCGGCCACTGACTGATGGACCAAATCACGGCGCTCTTCCAGGAGATGTGGCATTGTGGGAAAATCCCACAGGACCTCAAGGAGGCGACCATCGTCTATCTCTACAAGCTCAAAGGGGACCGGCAACTCTGTGGCAATTACAAAGGCATCTCGTCACTCTATACCGCTGGGAAGGTCCTCGCTCGCGTCCTCCTAAAAAACCTCAGTGGTCTTCTACAGCAAGTTCTCCTGTCGGAAAGCCATTGCGGCTTCCGACGACACCGCGAGACCACTGACATGGTCTTCGACACTCGTCAGCTGTAGGAGAAGTGCCAGGAGATGAGAACACACCTCTGCACTACCGTCGTGGACTTACCGAAGGCCTTTGATATGGTGAAGTACGAAAGACTGTGGAGAATCATGTAGAAATTCGGCCATCCTAAGCGATTCACGCGCATGGTACGTCAGTTCCACTACGGAATGAAGGCGTGCATCACAAACAATGGCGTAATTTCCGAGGAGTTCGCAATGGCCAATTGAGTGAAACGGGGCTGCTTTTTTATGCCTACCCTCTTCAGCCTCATATTCTTTGCCTTCCTTATGGACGCCTACCGTGATGAGCGTTCAAGAATAAGCATCGCCGGTAGAACTGAGGGGCATATTCTCAACAACAGGCGCATGCAGGCCCGAGCGCGACGATCGGCGATCACGTACAATGATCTGCTTTTCGCCGAAGACTACCCACTCAACATTACGACCGCCTAAGGCTTGCAACGGTCATGGACCTCTTCAACGCCGGGTGTGACAACTTCAAACTGAAAATCAACACGAACAAAACGGTGGTCGTGCACTAACCGCCATCGGAAGCGTAAAACTGTGTTCGTCGAATCATTGTTGACAGCATGCAATTCAAAATTGTGGACAACTTCTCCTACCTAGGAAGCCCACTTTCATACAGCACAAAAATCTTGACTAAGTGGCTGACGGATCTCCAAACCTGACCAGGCCTTCTTCCGGCTGCAGAACTCCGTGTGGAACTGAGATGGCAAGACAGGTTCTCGGACAAAGAGTTTCTCGGACGTACCAGCATCCCCAGCATCCCCGCCATGCTGAAACAGCTGCGGATGCGATGAAACGGTCAGCTCGTGGGGATGGGAGATATACGCCTGTCTATGCAACTCTTCTACGGATATTTTTCTATGGCTACTCGCCGACAGGTAGGACACAAAAGCACGTTATAAGGACATTCTAAAAAAACTTTCTGAAATGACTAAAAATCAACCCGAAGGCCTGGGAGTCCTTCGCCCAGAACAAACTGGTCTGGAGAAGGGAAGTGAAGACGGATGGAGCCTTTTACGAGGCAAATTAGGTTGTCGCCGCCAAAACCAAGAGGGCTGCTGGAAAGTCACAAATGCCTCGACTCCTCACTGCCCACCCTGCCAACGCACATTCCGCGCGTAAATCAGCCTCATAGGAAACCTTTGGACGCAATGAACCAACAGCCCGGCAATGCCAACTCACCTTTCACGAACACCCCTAGTATCACCCCTGCTGCAAACCCCGCAACGACGTCCATGTCGTCACCGCCGATCAGACTGCCAATGTCCGGCCCCGTCAATCGTCGAAGTCATCCGACCTGCCCCAATCCCTGCGTCGCTTACAGCTATCAGCTCCTCTGACACCACGATTTCTCACACCCCCCTCACTGATGGGACGGCGTCAGACATCCCATCATCTGCCGCCATCACCAGCACCCATACCTCCAGCGATGTGGACTCGATCTATACCAGTCCTCATTGCAGTCACGCATTTACCTCACGCATCAACCTGCTCGGTCATTTTCGAACCCATCGCACAGAGACTGGCTAACCAGTGTCTGGAGCATCCACATACATTCGCGGGGTCCGCCTTTACTGTCCACAGTGCCCTTGCAAAATCTTTCATTGCATGGGCCTGGTCAGTCACAGGCGTATCCACGACAGTGAAATTCACCACAGTACCCACACACCCATAGCCCCAACGCGGACGAAAATCAGTCTGATGTCGATGTGCAACAATCTATGAGTAACGCCACAGTAGCGAAATATCGCTGTAATGCTGACAGGGCAAGAAAGGAATTACCCATAAATCTTAAGCAAGTTAACGTAATAAGGGATGTCACAGAGTCCACGTCATCTATTCCGAAGGAGTGAGTAACTGACGACCAGGATCTTCTTCACGAATATGCCAGTGCCGTCCTGAAGGATGTGTTAATTTTCACCGTTTAAGAGCTTTCTGACTAGACAAAGCAGACCCAGACCGTGACCTAAAACATTCCTCGGCCCTCTAAAAGTTATTTAAGAAAACGAAGCGCAGACAGTGCTTCAGTTAAAAGGGAGAATGGACTTGCTGAACTTGCTCAAAGATCTTTTTCAGCCGGACTACGAACCTAGGGACTGACTGAGGAATAAGAGAACCAAGGACCGAATATAGGGGGAGAATTGGCAGAGGGCAGAATGGGCTGAGAATAAAAAGTGGTCAAAAAATCTAGACCAAAAGTTTTTCCTTTGGTCAACACGTGTCACTATAAAGGCGGGATCTCCACGACGAAACGATTATTGCAGATGCACAAAACCTGTTCAACAAATTCGATTAGCTATGAAACTTAATGGAAGGGGTAGTCGTATATGTAAGGGAAGGAATTTCAGCAGTTGAAAGAGCCCACACCCTCTCCCTTGAATATGAATCCGTCTGGATAAAGATAAAGAAGAGCAACGCACAAAATCTAGAATTTCTGGCGATTTACAGACCACCAAATCTTCTGAGTGCAGCTGATGAGTCGCTCCTTGGTTTAGTCAAAGACGTAGCTAGCCACCAAGAGGTACTTATTGCTGGGGATTTCAACGCACCTGCAATAGAGTGGGAAACAATGGCAGTTAATGGTGGACCAGCCTCTTTCAGCAATAAGCTACTGGACCTCACACTCGATCTCCCTCTGGCGCAACATGTGAAGGTACCAACAAGATTTCGAGAGAACCAGAGAGCAAATTGTCTAGACCTAGTTTTCACTAAAGACTTCTCGAATATCGACGAAGTGTATTCCAATGCACCTCTCGCGAAAAGTGACTATACTACGCTATTATGGGATTACTCGCTCCTCTCTAAATGCCAGAAGAGAACAGAGGGCCAACCTAATATATGGAAGGCGGATTTTAATATGATGAAGAACGAATTGCTGTCCATGAATTGGGACCAAATACTCAGGGGAGATCCGGAGGACGACTGGAGATCTTTTAAAACGATTTCACTCGATCTGATTAGGCGCTGTTGTCCACCTAAAGTACAAAAAACAACTAGTCGACCTGCTTGGTTAACTAGGGACCTAAATAGGCAGCTACGGAAGAAAAGCAAAAGATGGAAAATATTCAGGGAAACTGCGTCACCAGCGCATTTCGAAGAATTTCGTCGTCAACGAAATGCGTCAAAAATGTACCCATCAGGCACGGAAGGAGTATGAATCCAAAATTATACGACAGGCTGAACAGAAACCTAAGATTTTATTTCACTATCTGAAAAGTAGATTGAAAAATAAGGACCCGGTCGCGGTGCTGAAGGATGATAATGGTGTAGAGATCATTGAGAACAACGAGAAAGCCGAACACTTAGGACAGTATTTTGTCTCCGTTTTTACTAGAGAAACAGAGTTTCGCTGTCGCAGTGCCGGCAATGCTCTTAAGACTGTTGGTCCCGTGCTTGACTCCATACTCTTCCCGACAGCTGTCGGGGAAAGGGAGCTGAAAAATCTCAAAGAAGCAAAGTCCTCGGGTCCGGACAATATACCGGCCAAATTCTTGAAGGAACTGGCGAATGAACGTTCCAAACCACTGGCGCACATCTTCCGCTCGTCATTCGAATTAGGGAGGTTGCCATCGGAATGGAAGACAGCAAATATCTTTCCGATATACAAGGGCGGGGCTCGCACTAATGCTAACAATTACCGGCCTGTTAGTCTAACCTGCATCTGCTGTAAAATAATGGAGGCCATAGTTAAGAAAGCAACTATGGAGTTCCTGGAGCAGGGCCATTTAATCTCAGTCCTGCAGCACGGCTTTAGACAGAACCGCTCGTGTCTTTCCAGTTTATTGCTTTCGACGGAGCAGTGGACTCGCGCACTGCATGAGGATGGGAGGGTTGATGTCATATACACAGACTTTACGAAGGCGTTCGACAGCGTCCCACACAAACGCCTAATCTACAAACTTTCGGAAATTGGGATAAGAGGAACGCTGGTGACATGGATAACAGATTTTCTTACCGGGAGATCGCAAACCGTGTGCATTGAGGCCTCAAGGTCAACTCCTACTCCCGTTCTAAGTGGTGTACCCCAGGGCTCCGTCTTAGGGCCGTTGCTATTCCTGGTTTACATTAACGACTGCGTCGACGACCTGGGATGCAACGCCATCATGTTTGCCGATGATGTTAAGCTGTGGAGACCCATCAGATCTGATGCAGACAGGTACGCGCTTCAAGACAGTCTCAACCGCCTAAACAGTTGGTCAGCTCGCTGGCTCCTCAATTTTAATGTGGACAAATGTGTGGTCCTGAGACTCCGCACCAGACAGACCAGAAAGGAGGATGATTCATTTCAATATGTCCTTGGTGGTCAGTCCCTTTAAAATGTTGTGGAACAGAAAGACCTGGGCGTCCTAATGACCTCCTCGCTGAAACCATCATCACAGTGTCAAAGGGCAGCCAAAAGTGCAATAAGGGTGTTATTTGCGCTGAGGCGAGGATTTGTGCAGATCGACAAGGAGCTGTTCGGAAAAACCTATGGGGCATTCGTCCGGTCTCACTTAGAGTATGCAGTCCAGGCCTGGCGACCGTGGTTAAAGAAAGATTATCAACGACTGGAGAGAGTACAGGCGATGGCTACGAAGATGGTCAAGAATCTTCATAATTTGCCTTACGAAACCAGGCTGACCGAACTAAATCTGTTTCCTCTAAATTACAGGCAACTGCGCGGCGATCTCATTCAAACCTACAGGATTGTCAGAAGCCGTGAGTGTGCCCTAGATTTTGATGAATTCTTTGAATTGGCCCGGACTGACCGTCTGCGTGGTCATCCGTTCAAACTGCAAAGGAAGCGGGCTCATTCGGACGCCCGACGGAACGCCTTCTCACACAGGGTCATCGGGGCATGGAATGGACTCCCTGATGCCGTCGTTCTTTCCGAAAGTGTCAAATCCTTTAAGTGCAGACTGGACGCTCATTTGTTGAGAACCTACTGTACATACAATCATGATTGTTTTAGCGGCGGCAGTTTGCGCCTAGCTCACATTTACCGCTAACTTCTTAACTTTTCGCATTTACTGATGTAATTGATGACTTTATTTCTGTTTATCGATATGAATAGGGTGCTCAAGGGCGAAAGCCTCATTCCCTTAATAAACTGACTTAAACTGACTTGAATTAGGGCGGAACTTTGTGATTTCACAGAAACGCGGCTGTCTGAATATATTGCAGGTTCGTAAACATCATCTATAGCAAGCTGACCACTATGGCTGACATACATAGTCCGGTAAAGGATGTGGAACTGTTAAACACCACCGCTGACGCTTTTAAGATGAACCGTTAGCTGAACCAGACTTCTGACCAAGATTTCATTCTCATAACCGCATTGCATTAGGCCAGTGAGAATAAAGATGTGCATATTGTTGGGGATTTTAACGCTACCGGCATTGACTGGTAAACGTGGACTGCCCAAGGACTATCATGTAACTTTAATCACAAGCTACTACAATGAACAGTGGGCAAACTTCACTGCCAGAAAGTTGCCTTTAGAACGCGGGCTAGGGAAGAACAACAGTCGAACTACCTTATTTTTTGCGGGGGGGGGAATATGCTAACGTATAGGAGTGACCGCCATCACGGTCAAGCAACTATATAAAGCTGTATTTAGAGTACTCATTGTTTCAAAATCAATTCGATCTGCTAAAAGGGCAAAGAAACCCCTGCCGTCCTCAAAACAATCAACCGCAAACCGCCAATATGGACAAACTCGAGCTTGAAGGTCTCTTTCAAAAAAATGAAATAATTTTTGGAGACGTTACAGCGCAACCTGCTCCGTAGAGCACCTACAGGAATATAAGCAGCAACGATACATTTGTAAAAATGAGGCTGTTTATCTGCGAAGGAAATTCAGACTGAACAAACTGCAAAATTTAGTTGGACATGCCGAAATTTTATTTGGTTACATACGGCGTATTCAAAGAACTCAGAAACTGGTCCTTGTCATTAGGTCTGCAAATGGAAAACTGGAGGCCGACGATCAGATTATAACATCACCATTTCTAATTTCTTCCATTTCGTCTTCACCCGGGAACCTATTCTTTTTTGTGCCTTCACCCGCTCGCCGGCCAATGTTCCTCCTCCTCCTCCTACTCCTCCTCCTCCTCCTCCTCCTTTTCCTCCACCTCCTTCTCCTTCTCCCCCTCCTCCCCCCTCCTCCTCATTTTGAGACGGCAAACCCCTAAGCGAGTTGAAATTGCACTTTTCCCTCCGATCCATAAAGGAGATTCTCGGCTTGACTGTGAAGTTTATAGTTCTGTCTGTCTAGCTTGCGTCGCATTTTAAATAATGGAGCGTACAGTAGGTAGGCTAACTCATCAAATGTCTGCCGAAATTCCGAAATATGTTTCGTTCCGAAATTACTAATTAAGTGGGGTTGTAAAACTAGTCATCTTATAGCATAATTCTTTAATAATTCATTTACCTCAGGATGCCGGCTTTCAAACGAACTTCTATCCGGCTGCATGCAAAAACCATATTCTGTAAAAAAATGACTGTTAAAGTAACATGAGTTTTTCTCATTGATTTTTGATGTCCTTAAAAATTCAATTATAATTCATAGAAAACATGATGAAAAAATACTTATTATTTTGCCCATTCGGTAGAAAATTACGTCTTCTTCCAATGTTATACTTGAAGGAAGGGTATAATTCGGTTTTCATAAACGTTTCCAATTCTCGAATACTTCTGGACCTGACCTACCGTAGGAGTTTCCAAACTGCAGGCCGTATATTTTCCGCGTACGGAGAGCCATGCATTCCTCTGCGGCATTAAAAGGAGACCATGTGGGGTTCATAAAATTCAGCAGTGGATTTGAGCCGTATTGTTTACTTTACAAGTCACATTGGTAAATGCAGCGACAGGACGTTTTGTTCAGTTCAGTTTATTGAGAGAAATTGGCGTAAGCCTTTGAGTACCTTATTTGAAACGTAAAAAATTGTGTGCTTTACAGATAAATGTTCTGGGTTGGACGGCCGTTTCACGGTATTAAAAAATCTCACAGTTAGAAACTTTTTAAAAATCGAATTATACCCTTCCTTCGAGTATAAAATTTAAGGAAGACGTAATTTTCTACCGAATGACCAAAAGAATGAATATTTTTATGCATATTGTCCATGGAATATTATAAAATTTTTAAGGGCATCGAAAATTAATGAGAAAAGTGCATGCTATCTAAGTGATCATTTTTTACAGAGTTTGGTTTTTGCATGCAGCCAGAAAGTAGTTCGTTCGAAAGCCGGCGTCCTGCGGTAACTGAATTATTATAGCATTATGCTGCAAGATGATTAGTTTTACAACCCTACTTAATTAATCTTTTCGAAACAAAAACCCATTTCTGAATTTCGGTTGGCATTTCATGAGCTAGCCCTCCTATTGTATTATCAAAGGCATCTAATAAGATATGTGAAAAAAGAAGGCATTTTGTGTTGTCTAACATGGCCTTCGTCCGGAACGCTCTTGCCTCACGAGTAATCTTTACTCGCGTGAGAAATGGACAAGGGCTACGGATAGGGACTATCTGATAGATTTCATGTTTTGTGACTTCAAGAAGGCCTTTGATAGCGTACCCCACAGGCATATTTTTGAGAAGATCTGGGCTGTAGGAATTTAAGGAAGAATGTGTAAATGAATCAGGAGTTTCCTGTCCTCCAGAGTGCAAATGGTCGTTTTTGGTATTTTTACCTCGGTATGGGAAAAAGTGAAAAGCGGTGTACCACGGGGTTCTGTTTTGGGTCTACTATTCTTGATTTATTTAAATAATTGCACCAGCGAACTGGATTGGGAGGCTCTCATGTTCACGGACGACATGAAATCATGGAGTGAAGTTAGTTGTGCTAATGACACTGAGAAATTGCAATAGAACACCGACAAACTGACTGTTTGGGCAAACAGATGGTTTTTAAGGTTTAATGTGCCCGAATGCGTTCTCACAATTAAACGCTGGCCAAAATGCCTCTCGCAAACATCATTAATACATTATCTGGACAGCAGTAGAAAATTCAGAAAGGCACGGAGATCTGGGCGTATGGACGATCATAAATCTATTGTCGTCAGAACATTGAAAGTAGATGATTCAGAAGGCAACTAATGCTTTTCACTGGATCGGACGCACATTCAAGATATTTATCCGTGAACTCTTAGGAAGATTTTCGGCGCCTTTGAAAGATCCCACCCGGAATATAGAATGGCAGTAGCCATACCATGGAAAAGGAAGGATATGGACCTCCACTAACAGGCGCAACGCAAAGCAACGAAGATGGTCGATGGTCAAAAGCATTTTTCATACCAGGAGAGGTTGAATGTGTTTGGCCTACTACTCACATCCTAAAAGCAAATAAGCTGTAACCTTCTCTGTACAGTACGGATTGTCGGCGGCCGGAGGATTTCTTTGAGTTCGCCCGTAAAAACCAATTATGCGATCATCCTTACGAAGTCAAGGGTGAATGCACGCGGCTAGATCGTAGGAAGTTTTCGTCCAGTCAACGGGTTGTCCGGCAATGGAACTCGCAACCCACTGTAATGGCGATGTCTTGCACAATTTTTACGTCGAAAAGAAAACTTGTGTGGTGACATTTAAGTCCGTTTTGTTTTAGTCAGTTATAATACGCTTATTAAATAACTTGACATAACTTTGAATAAGAATAAGCACGTGTATTTTTACCTGCTGACGACTTTCTTCGTATTTACTAGTTTGTAACTGTTGGGATACTTCTATCTTCGTTTCCCGGATAGCCTACTTACTGTGCCCAACTAATGGCTTTATCACTTACATTGCTGACCCTATATCGTTCGTAGCTCCTTCTGTTTCATTTTTGTGCATAACTATTTCCATTCGGATTAATCCTCACTCTACCTTTTATTGATCAGATTATTTATCCAGCCCTTATTTGCTAGTCACGCTGTCTCACCTTTTCATCAAATACGAGCGCTAACCTTCAATCTTACTGCCAACGCGCTAGTTCTCTACCCCAATTATCTGACCCCTGACCGACATCGGCTAATTATGTCCAGCGATTCTACCTGCCAGCCGATAGCCGGCATTCACACCTTTGACCTGTCATCCGTGTGGCTAGGTACAATTTTGTGTGACGTATCGCGCGGTGCCTCCCGACCCGTAGTGCCAAGCGAGATAAGACGAGATGTTTTCGCCGCGTTGCACAATCTGCCTCACCCTGGCATTCGCACTACCCAGCGCCTCTTCAGCGAGCGTTTCGTTTGGTCAAGCATGAACACTGATATCCGCCAGTAGACCCGTTCATGTTTGGCCTGTCAGAAGGCCAAAGTCGGACGGCACAACAAAGCCCCCATTGACACTTTTCTCGCACCCGAGGCACGTTTTGCATATGTTCATATTGATCTGGCAGGTCCTTTTCCAACATCGCGTAGTTGCATCGACTTACTTACTGCGATTCACCGATTTACTCTTTGGCCCATTGCAACTCCCATATCTAACATAACTGCAGATTCCGTTGCTCATGCCTTTTTGGAACACTGGATTTCTCATTATGGCGTTCCCTCAACTATTACCAGCTATCGAGGTCAACAAGTCGATTCTAGGCATTTTAACAGCCTTACCGATCTCCTCGGATGTCATCGCATACGCACGACAGCCTACCAACCCTCAACCAAAAGCTTAGTCGGGCGTTTCAATCGGCAACTCAAAGCCTCGCTCCGAGCTCATGACAACCCTTCCCAATGGAGCGAGCATCTGCCTTTGGTCATGCTCGGTATCAGTACCGCACTCAAGTCCGACTTGGAGTGTTCCGCTGCCAAACTTGTTTACGGCACTACCTTAAGGATTCCTGGGGATTTTTTCGGGTACTCTCCAAGCTCAGCCGACTTGGATCCCAGCGATTATGTGCAAAGATTGCGCCATGCCATGACTCATCTTCAAGCCACTCCTCCACGTCCTCCAACAAGTAAGTCGTACATCGACCCGAACCTACTAACATGTTCATTTGTATTTGTCCGTGTAGATAGCGTTCGCCGGCCACTACAACAGCCCTATGACGGCCCATTTCGAGTACTATCGCGCAAGGACAAGCATTTTACAATTGACCGTGGAGGCCGCACCGACGTGGTCTCAATCGATCGCTTGAAGGCGGCTTATACCGAGCTTCTTTCAACTTCCCCAACCGAACAACCTCCACTCGGCACATTGCCACTTGTTTTTTCCCAGACTCAACTTACGCCCAATAACCCTGCGTCTTCCCTTATCCCACAGACTCCTCCCCTTACGCGCAGCGGTCGTCAAGTCCGTTTTCCCGACCGTTACCAACTTGTACAATATGCATTACACTCCCACTTTTTCCTTCTATTAACAATAATTTTTATGAACTCGTTCTCCTATGAGGAGGAGTATTGTGGTGACATTTAAGTCCGTTTTGTTTTAATCAGTTATAATATGCTTATTAAATAACTTGGCACAACACTGAATAAAGCAAAGAACTAGCACGTGCATTTTTACCTGCTGGCGACTTTGTTCTTATTTACTAGATTGTAACTGTTGGGATACTCCTAGCTTCGTTTCCCGGATAGCCTACTTACTGTGCCCAACTAATGGCTTTATCACTTACACTTGGTCGCGCAATTTTCTACAAAGACAGTCTGGTAAAACATAACTTCTCGCGGTCAGCTTCCTAAAACAATTTTCATACACAATCTGGTTGCACTGAGTCACGGTGTAAAAAAGCGATTCCTTCTTAATATTGTTCTGCCGCGAACCGACCACATTTCAATGTTTGCCACTTTATTTTGAGTGCGAATATGCGAAATTATTGTACATAAATAGGGTCATCTGTCTGTGACCCTTCGAAAACAAGCCGTGCACACCCACCATGCCCAGCCCTCTCAAGACCCCACCGCCCAGCGCGCAGACTACCACCACCACCACCACCACCACCACCACCAGCACCACCGCCGCCGCCTCCGCCGCCGCCACAACAACCATCACTGAATTCGAAGCTGACGCCCCCCACCCACCTTGCTTACGCTGTCTCAGTACACTCACCTCACGCATCAGCCCGGTCAGTCGGCTGCGAAGCCTTTTATACAGTGGCAAGCGAACAAATGCCCTGAACGCCAACATACATCGGACGCACTCTCCTCAACTGTCCTCGCACATTCGGACACCGCATGGATCAAGTAGGCCACATGCGCATCTTGGAAAACCTGCGGTGGACAACCGCCGGCTATACTACACACTCAGATCTTTTCATACCCGCACCTGCCACACACATCAACATCACTCATCACCAGACAAAGCAAGCACGCAATTGATTCCCCTCATGTAAGCGGAAAGTGTGCTTCTCGGCACCTTCCTCGTTTGGCTCCTCTGCAGCATTTGTGACCCGAACATGAGACTCTCACGGTCCGCCAAGCACCGTGGCTTATAAGGTTGTGGACTGATGCATCAGATCAGTCCACATAACTAGCCTGCTTGCGCGTGTTTGTGTGGAGTGGCGGACTGGTGGACTGAGAGTCAGGCTACCATGCTCCCTTCTTGACGTGACGTAACCTCTGGCACTCTCAAGCATGTCAGGTGCATGCCGCCCACTCCATGATGTATAACATCCTCATGTTCGTGCCTTGGGGTCTAGGCCGTGCATGTGGCGCATGTATACGGAGTCACTAGGTTTGCCAACCACTACGCCCACTCGCCGCACCAGATAACGGGCCGGACTGATTGGTGGCTGGGGCCTGGGAAAGGGAACAGCGAGTGGGACCGACGACTCAGCGCACTTTCCTTACTGCAAAAGATCTGACGCCCTCGAAGTTATCACGGTGGCTAAAAGGCGTAGCTTGGAAGGCTGCCAGCTGAAGGGTTAATTTAGACCTCGCAGTCGGCCCCGTGTTTTTTTGCTTGAAGCGGCCGACTGATGCCCTGAGAGAGTTGCCTTTATAACACTTTCAGCTGATGGGCTTCGAGATGGATGTGGCGGCACGCCTAGGGACGGTTATAGCAGCGCCAGCCATTTAGGCCCTCTCCCATTTCCGATCTTCTTAACTATGGCCTGACACCGGGCCTAGGTGAGGGAGGAGGAGGGAGTGCGATAGATGCCATGAAAGTCCACTATCACCATAAAATAGATCAGGTACAAGCTACCCTACCTGCTCATCCTGCTGTAGAGCACACTGTGGACACTGTCGGTCACGACGGTTTAACTTTCGGTATACCCAGGTCCTTAATAAGTGTTGGTGACTTTAGGTCCTGACCTTTACTGTTTTTGGGGCTGATGATCGTAGCTAACATGCAAAACTGAACGTCTACACCAAGAAGGGAAGAACGTCATGTGCACCACCGCTAAGCATAAACCCGGAGGTAGTTTTTCAAAGAGTTCGAGAACGATGACGCGATTTGCCTGTTTGTCTCGGTAGGGACTTTCAGACCCTCGGCATTATAAAGAACACTATCAGCCTAAAACACATCTGAGGCATATTAAGGAAAATGGCAAAACAGGAGCTGGCCAGCCAAAATTCCCCACATGATTCCACTCTTAACATACGTGCGGTTGCAGATGACAGTAAAAATCTTGACGTGATATATTCGAAAGCCCGGATAAAGGGGCATCCGATTCGAAAGGTTGTTACCTATTCCGAAAGATGAAAGACTCAAGAGAAGAGGCGAATAGTCAACACAATGAGAAGTATTGGAGAAAACAAAATAGGCTGAGTAATGGGCGAAAACATCCTCCCCAAAGTGTGAAGTATAGTCGAAGAAAGAGAGCTGGCGGGTGTCACAGCATCGATTTGTTGAAACTCCATGCTAGACCGAAATCAGTAGGCTATTATCAGTTAAGTGGCAAAGCGACTTATCTTTGGTCAAGTTTTCCATGGTTTGTTAAAAACTGCTAGATAGGTGTTTATAAGCTGAAAGTCATCAAATGACCTAAAACAGCCATGCTTGTGGAGAGGCAGACTGTGTGTTTCCTTACCAGACGTGGAAAACTTCTCACTAGCGAGGGCGAGATTCAATATGTTACGGAAGAGGAAAATAGAAGCCTAATCAACGCCAGTCTTTAAGTGGTAAGCTGGACAACATTTGGGCTTGAGCTCTGAGACTGTCGGGAACGCCAGATCGTTACAACCACGTCCTTGGGACAAAATTTGAATAAATAAGTAGTTAAATTGTGTTTTAAAGTACCACTTATGGTACTATCACGACAAGGAAAAATAAATTTTCAAGTGAATTTTAGAATGAGTAGACATACTCTGTACAGAAATCAGTTCATGCTTATGAAAAACGGTTACAGAGCAGTGAAAAAATTCTTTTTTCGAAAAAGTCAAAATGAGTATGAATCGATTAGCTTCAAAGGAAAAAGCGCAGAAGCCCAACAGGCAGCCACAGTGAGAAATCCTCTCTAGGTGGGTCGGGTACAACGGGATGGCGGTTTTGAGGGGAAGAACGGGCGGGGCAAACGGCAAAGGGCACTAAATTGGCAGTTGGAAGCCGAAAAATGTTGAAAATCGAAGGAAAATAAATATTTGTTTTAATGAAGTCAAAAGTAGGGGGAGGATGGCGCGCAAATAGGGAAAACCGTAGGCAATGACCAATCGAAGGAGGGCTGGCCGGGGACGTGATGTGATTGGCCGCCGGGGCGAGTAAACCTGAACCGCCAAGCAGCTAACCAATGGGATCATTGGCGCCGCACTTGAAAGTGGTGTGCGTTAGATAGGCACGATGCATACGATGCGTAAAGGGGACGCGGGCGGTCAGCGGTGTACTGCGGTTGGGTAAGAGTATTTGTATAAAGTGCTTATGACAATTGCATCACTTCCCGGCCCCTTACTGACCCCCTCCTCAACCCCTCCCTATTTGTTATATCGGTGATCTCCACGGTATGCACCGTTTAATACGCATAACGTGAACAATGTTTAGGATACCTGGACGTACTCCAACGCCACCGCACCAGCCTACAGCAAGTCGGCAAACTCCCGACCTTGGCGGTCGCTGTTTTACGGGATTTGCAAGTATCCATGGTGAGAACAGCTTGTAGGCCTACGTAACCCTTTTAAGTTTAAATTTATCCGCCGTAACCCAAATTGGGGGACCAGGCGTGAAAGTACAGATAGACGAGACGCTCATAAGTCGCGGCAAATATAACAGGGGACGACCGCGGCAGCAGTTCTGGGTCATATGTGTACGATGCACGCAGACGGAAAGCCCTATTTGAGCAGATTAACAACCGCAGCTGGGAGTCCATGAGGCCCGTCATAAGGAAGTGGGTGGCTGCTGGTAGTGTTATCGTAACCGATGAGTGGAAGGGTTGCACCCGCCTACCGTCCGAAGG